TTGTTTTTGTTTTTGATAATAGCCATCCTAATAGGTATGAAGTGATATCTCACTGTGGTTTTTATTCATTTTCCTAGTGACTAATGATGTTGAGTATCTTTTCAGGTGAGTCTCAAAGCTTTTTTTTTTTTTGAGATGGAGTTTCGCTCTTGTTGCCCAAGCTGGAGTGCAATGGCACAATCTCGGCTCATTGCAACCTCCGCCTCCTGGGTTCAAGCGATTCTCCTGCTTCAGCCTCCCGAGTAGCAGGGATTGCAGGCATGTGCCACCATACCCGGCTAATTATGTATTTTTAGTAGAGATGGGGTTTGTCCATGTTGGTCAGGCTGGTCTCGAACTCCTGACCTCAGGTGATCTGCCTGCTTCAGCCTCCCAAAGTGCTGGCATTATAGGCATGAGCCACCGCGCCCAGCCTTCTTGTGGCTTTTAATACCTTTACAATGCAGACAACCACCAAATATTCATCCCTAAATCTCCACCCTGCACTCCAAACTCACATAAACATCCAACTAACAGGCATCTTAAATTGAACATGCCCCAAAATGAACTTCTGATCTCTCCGAAAATCTGCTTCTTTCATAGTCTTTCCCATCTTAGTAAATGGCAACTCCTTCTTCCATTTACCAGACCAAAACCTTGAAATCATTCCTGATTCCTCTTTCTCTCACAACCTATATCAGCAAATTCTGAGAGCTTTGCCTCCACAATCAACCCAGAATCTCACTGCTTCCTACATCTTTACTGCGACCAAGCAGTCTGCAGGACAGACTGCTTCTGCCCTGTCCTGCTATTTTCCACACAGAAAGACAAAGGATTTTTTTAAAAAAAACTCACCACACCACACAACCTCTGCTTAAAACCCTCTAATAGTATCCCACCATATTCAGAAAAAAAGCTAAAGATTTTACCTTGGCCCACAAGGATTTACATGTTCTCACTTAGACCTCATCTATTACTCTTTCCTTTTCAGCCTCTAGACAAACTGGCCTCCTTCATAGTCCTTTAACACGTCAGGTATGCTTCCATTTAATAGTCTTTGCATATATTATTCTGTATGCCAATACCTTTAGGTAGCCTCACAATTTGCTCCTTGACTTCCACCGGTCCCTCAAATATCACATCCACATGGAAGCCTTCCTGAACCACTCAATTTAATTGCATCCTTTCCAGCTTGCACACTATCTTCCTCTCCGCTTTAGTTTTCTCCATAGCACTTAATGCTATCTGACATACTATTTATTATACCCATTTTGTCTCCCATCACTATAACGTAAGCATCAGAAAAGATTTCAATCTATTTTATTCACTGCCACATCCCCTGAACAGTGCCCAGCAAAGAATAGGTACTCAATAAATATTTATTGTTGGTGTTGAACTTTTCAATGAAAAAATCCCATCTGCAAAAGCCTAGTTTCCAGAACAGAGAAAGGTCCTGCCTCTTCCATGAAGTGCGCAAACATCCTGCTACTTTGAGGTTTTACTTACCCTGATCCCAGTGCCATTGTCTTGGATCTGAATCAACTTCAGGCCTCCCTCTTTAACAATCACTTGAATACTTGTGGATTTTGCATCTAAACTGGCAAATCAAACAGAAAATAATTTATCAGTCTGCAACTACTCTAATGTACATATTTTAATATGAGCCAAGCAATGATAACAAACTCCAAACAAATACAATAGTGCCTCATTAACATGTTTTTCCTTTGTCTTACAGGCTCATACACTGTATGAGTTTACACACTGTGTGAGAGAGGGAACAGATGGCACAGCAACCATCATTTCCAATAGGACATTCAGCACTATTTCTGTTCCTCTAGGAAAGACAGCAAGAAGTTAAAAATAGATTTCTTTTGGCAGATGCCTCTTCTTAACTAATTTTACTTTTACCTGAACTTTATTCAGCCTCAGGTTCCTTAGTGACTCTAATAAAATGTCCCTAAAAAATACAAATTCTGAACGATTTTCTCTACTATTCCCTTTTATATTTATGATGCAGGTTAGAAAAAAACAGTAATGCAGAAAGTTAATAAATCTTTAGGAAGTCAATCAATTTTTTGGCCAGGGGCAATGGCTCACGCCTGTAATCCCAGCATTTTGGGAGGCCGAGGCGGGTGGATCACCTGAGGTCAGGAGTTCGAGACCAGCCTGACCAACATGGAGAAACCCCATCTCTCCTAAAAATACAAAAGTAGCCGGGCATGGTGGCACATGCCTGTAATCCCAGCTACTTGGGAGGCTGAGGCAGGAGAATCACTTGAACCCAGAAGGTGGAGGTTGCGATGAGCTGAGATCACACCATTGCACTCCAACCTGGGCAACAAGAACAAAACTCCATCTCAAAAAAAAAAAAAAAGAAAAAAAAAGAAGTCAATACATTTTTTGTGCTTTCAAAGAGTAGCCTACAAGCATAGACCACCTGCTAGAGAAAACAAATTTTCTATCATGGGCTGCACGAGAAAGAGTTATCTCTTCCCCACATAGACAATTCTTTATTCAGAAACAATAGGCTGGGCATGGGGGCTCATGTCTGTAATCCCAGCACTTTGGGAGGCCGAGGTGGGCGGATCACCTGAAGTCAGGAGTTCAAGACCTGGTCAACATGGCAAAACCCCATCTCCACTAAAAATAAAAAAATTAGCCGGGCGTGGTTGTGCACGCCTGTATTCCCAGCTACTTTGGAGGTTGAGGCAGGAAGATCGCTTGAAACCAGGAGGCAGAGGTTGCCGTGAGCCAAGATCACACCACTGCACTCAGCCTGGACAACAGAGTAAGACTTCATCTTAAAAAAAAAAAAAGAAAGAAGACAATAAGTTACTGAAACATTATAGACCCTTCTCATGGGCCCCTGTATTGAAGTTGTATTAGTCAGCTCAACTTATATATTAAAAAGAGTATAGCTGGACTCCATATAAAAATCTCCACTTGAGCCAGGCGCGGTGGCTCACGCTTGTAATCCCAGCACTTTGGGAGGCCGAGGTGGGTGGATCACCTGAGGTCAGGAGATCGAGACCATCCTGACTAACATGGTGAAATCCTGTCTCTACTAAAAATACAAAATTAGCCGGGCATGGTGGCACATGGCTGTAATCTCAGCTACTCGGGAGGCTGAGGTAGGAGAATCACTTGAACCCAGGAGGTGGAGGTTGCGGTGAGCCGAGAGCGTGCCATTGCACTCCAGCCTGGGCAATAAGAGTGAAATTTCATCTCAAAAAAATATACAATAATCCAAAAAATTAGCCAGGCGTGGTGGCACACGCCTACAGTCCTAGCTACTCGGGAGGCTGAGGCAGGAGAATCTCCCTTGAACCCGTGAGGCAGAGGTTGCAGTCAGCTGAGATCGCACCACTGCACTCCAGCCTGGGTGACAAAGTGAGACTTCAACTCAAAAAAATAAAATAAAATAAAATAAAAAATCTCCACTTAAGGAATTAATTACAAGCCACCAAGCTAGTACATTCGGTTTTGTTTTACAGTATTCTGGCACAGTACAATAATAGGCCCAGTTGTTCTGTCATTCATTCTAACATAGTAGAAACAAATGCAAGTCTGCCACTGCTTCTGTTACTACTATTACAAGTGAAAAGGAGAAAACATCCCCCCATTTCTTGTTCCTTCTTTCATCTACCTTCCAATTCTCTTCCTTTCCTTCAGTGGTCCTTTCTACCCACTGTTCTTTCAGTCCCATTGCCCTGAATAGTTTATACTTTCACAATAAATCCCTCTAGAAACCTACCACTCCTAACTGAAGCATTCTTTTTTCTATTAATATACGGACTTCACTAACATCAACTGATTTTAACAAAATGATCTGACATAACGTTTAGGTGTATTTTGGGCATGTCTTTTTGGAAGTTTATAGTCCACACTCACTTTTCCTTCCACGTTTCAAATTTCTTCCCTCCACATTTTTTGTGACAGTTATAAGCTTCAAAATCCACGGATGACCCATGAAATCTGGTATATTCGAATTGCGCCCTCCCAAGTAAAGGACAGGAAAACACTAAGTGGGGTCACTAATCTAACAATAGGGTAATCAGAAGTCAAGCCCAGAGTGCATCAGCCTGTCCTAAAACTACAAACGATTTGTTTTGAATGAAACTCAAAATGAATTGTGCCTTTGGATGTGTACAGATGATTTCTGGAATGAATGAAAAGCAAGAAAATAGTAACGCAGTATCCTCTGAAAAAAAGGTTTTTTTCCCCCATCCTAAGCTTTTATACATCTTTCAACTTTGCATCTTCTGCATACCATGATTTTAAATTAAGTGGCTTCCTTAGTTAACGGTACCATTACAACACTGAGTATATTTCTCCACTTGCACTCCAAACAACCCTTAAAAGGTCTCGCGAGAGCGGTAAAGAAAACACACGGATTGTGGAAAGGGAAAAGGCCTGACTGGCACGTCACGGAACCCCGCGGCCTCCGCCGTTGTGGGCATGCGCTGTACATGCTTCTGCTCGGGCAAGGAGGCGTGTCCGCACCATTGAAAGGAGCGACCCGTTACGTCGTAGCCCTTAAGTGAGCCCGGCTCGACTCCCTCCGTACCAGTTCTCAATCATCTCTTTGATAGCATTAGCTGGCCGCTGGATAACCTCCCCCGCCGCGATGCGGTTCACCACTGTCTCCTCCAGCCGCCGAATAACCCCTGCCACGAACGACATTTTGGCGCCAGCGGAGTCTAGGAAACGTCTAGATGCTCAACGGAAGTGCCTTCAGCCAATCGCCTCAGTGCTTCGTGCTCACGTTCTTCCTTCAAGCTGTAGCTTACGCCGCCCAGACCCACCCTCAGCGGCAGCTATTGATTGGGCAGCTTGAATGCCAGTCAAATTTCTCAACTCTGTGGGTTGCTGGGTCTCCTCGTCCCTCCCTGAAGCGGTTGCTGCCCGCTACCTAGAAGGATATGCGCTTGCGCATTAGAGAGATCACTGTCCGCTCTTCCTATTGGTTCGTTTTTGGAGCTCGGAGAATACGAAATATCCAGCCAATAGGGGCAGAGATTCCGGAGCTGGGTTTGTGTGCCTCCGCTGAGGTGATCTGTCGCAGAGCGGAGGAGGTGCTTTGGCGCTTCTCAGGCTCCTCCTCTCCCCTTGCGGCCTTTCTAGCGTTGGCCCTGGTCTTGTGGCCTCCCGCAGAATGTGGATGACGCCCAAAAGAAGCAAGATGGAAGTCGATGAGGCTCTAGTTTTCCGGCCCGAGTGGACCCAGCGTTATTTGGTGGTGGAGCCTCCGGAGGGCGACGGGGCCCTGTGCCTGGTCTGTCGCCGCCTCATCGTAGCTACCCGCGAACGCGACGTCAGGCGCCACTACGAGGCTGAGCACGAATACTACGAGCGGTATGTGGCAGACGGCGAGCGCGCGGCCCTGGTGGAGCGTCTGCGTCAGGGCGACTTGCCCGTGGCCTCGCTCACTCCTGAAGAGAGAGCTGCTCGTGCAGGCCTCGGGCTCTGCCGCCTCTTGGCCTTGAAGGGTCGCGGCTGGGGTGAGGGGGACTTTGTATACCAGTGTATGGAGGTATTGCTGAGAGAGGTACTGCCCGAGCATGTAAGCGTCTTGCAAGGCATTGACTTATCTCCAGAGATCACAAGGCAGAGGATCCTGAGCATTGACGAGAATCTACGCAGCCAGCTTTTTAACCGAGCCAGGGACTTTAAAGCCTATTCTCTTGCCTTGGACGACCAGGCTTTTGTGGCCTATGAGAACTACCTCCTGGTCTTTATCCGCGGGGTAGGCCCTGAGCTGGAGGTGCAAGAAGATCTTCTGACCATAATCAACCTGACTCATCATTTCAGTGTTGGTGCGCTCATGTCGGCAATCCTAGAGGCCCTGCAGACAGCAGGGCTTAGCTTGCAGAGAATGGTTGGACTGACTACGACCCATACTTTGAGGATGATTGGTGAGAACTCAGGACTCGTCTCATACATGAGAGAAAAGGCTGTAAGCCCCAACTGTTGGAATGTGATACATTATTCAGGATTTCTTCACTTGGAACTGTTGAGCTCCTATGATGTAGATGTTAATCAGATCATAAATACCATATCCGAATGGATAGTTTTGATTAAGACCAGAGGCGTTAGGCGACCTGAATTTCAGACTTTACTAACTGAATCTGAATCAGAGCATGGCGAAAGGGTTAATGGACGATGTCTGAACAATTGGCTTAGGAGAGGGAAAACTTTAAAACTAATATTCTCTCTAAGAAAAGAACTGGAAGCTTTCTTGGTTTCAGTAGGGGCAACAACAGTCCACTTCTCAGACAAACAATGGCTTTGTGACTTTGGCTTCTTGGTAGACATTATGGAACACCTTCGAGAACTCAGTGAAGAATTAGGAGTTAGTAAAGTCTTTGCTGCTGCTGCCTTTGACCATATTTGTACTTTCGAAGTTAAGCTGAATTTATTTCAAAGACATATTGAGGAAAAAAATCTAACAGACTTTCCTGCCCTCAGAGAAGTTGTTGATGAGCTAAAACAGCAAAATAAGGAAGATCAAAAAATATTTGATCCTGATAGGTATCAAATGGTGATCTGTCGTCTACAAAAAGAATTTGAGAGGCATTTTAAGGACCTCAGGTTCATTAAAAAGGACTTAGAACTTTTTTCAAATCCATTTAACTTTAAACCTGAATATGCACCTATTTCAGTGAGGGTGGAGCTGACAAAACTTCAGGCAAACACTAATCTTTGGAATGAATACAGAATCAAAGACTTGGGGCAGTTTTATGCTGGATTGTCTGCTGAATCTTACCCAATTATCAAAGGGGTTGCCTGTAAGGTCGCATCCTTGTTTGATAGTAACCAAATCTGCGAAAAGGCTTTTTCATATTTGACACGAAACCAACACACTTTGAGTCAGCCGTTGACAGATGAGCATCTCCAAGCCCTGTTTCGGGTTGCCACAACTGAAATGGAGCCGGGTTGGGATGATCTTGTGAGAGAAAGAAATGAATCTAATCCATAAGACTTTGTAGTACAAGATTGAAAAACTCAACAAGAATTTAATTCTAAAAGCAAAAATCGGTTTGAGTTTTCAAGTTTACTAATTTGGATTGTGAGAAAGTACCAAGTACCAGCCGTCCAAACTGATCACAATTAAAATTCTGACAGTTGCCTTTTTTTTTCATCTCAAATGGCAGCATGGGACTGAAACATGAGAATGCCACCTTTTTTAAAACTTAGTTTAATGACAAAGTCGTTGTCTTTTATGATATAGTTAATTTTAAAGAGATTTAGTATTAATGTGAGTTGAATTTGCGGTCTGTTTTTTAGGTGTTCTGAAGATATATGCCAAAAATTTCAGCTCTTGTTTTAATGGAGTGTTAAAATTCTGATTCATATAGTCTTAAATTATCAACTCTTTAAATGTGCTTTTGAACCAATTTGCAGAAACTCACATAGCAAGTTCATAAGTTTCCGAAAAGGAAGATGATACATACAGTGGAGGTGTTTTGTAACTATCAAAATGTTTGAGACTCTTTTTTAAACATTTCTGAGTCCGAAGGTAATACTGACAAATTTCTTCCCTCTTCCCTCCCCATCACCCACCTCAGTGATACCGACATTACTGATAGAGGAAGTCATTAGAATCATTTTTAAGTTGCTGATATAGGAGATTTCCTGCAATTTGGAGATAAGACTAATTATTGGGGGTTTTCCTTGGATTTTTTTTTATAACTAGGGGCTATTTTATCAGCTTGCCTATTAAAGGACTATGGTAAGTATAGAATCTTAATGGTTGCCAGTTAGTAATTTTTTTTTTTTTTTACTGTAGACACAAGTTTGGCCCTATCAAAAAGGATGAGGAAAAAAGATTTTTGCACTCCGGGATTAGGAGGTGTGAGATGTTTTAGCTTTTTTGTCTTATCTGCGTGGATGTTGCTGCTGTATTTTAAAAAATCCTGCTTAAAGTAAACACTTTGTTTTAAAATGATACAGTATCAGATTTTTTTAGATGCTAGAAATGGATTCTAAAATTTGGAACTGTGGAACACGTTCTGTATTTAAGATAGCACACAAGTAGAAATATTTAAAAGCAGTCTTATTCACAGATTTCAATAATTCTGTATTTCCATTAAGATAATCTGCTTTGTGCCAAAACGGTAGTTTCTAAACCTCTGTTAACAGTGAAAAGGCAATCTTAAAGTTTGCTATGTAAAACTAATTATAAACAGGACCCAACTTATATTCATAGATCCTCTCAAGTATTATACAGTTTAAAAATTATTGTTCCAAAGTCCTATCTTAACTATTGAAACACCTTCCAGCAAATTCAAGGAACCAGGCTACAACTAAGAATTTAGATGGAATTGATGTCTGGGCAATTAAAATAAATGCCATAAGAGCCTGAAAACCAAAGTTGTGCCAGTGGCTTTCAAATAGAGGCAGTAACCTGTCCTTCCAGAGGATGCTGAGAAATGTGTAGGGGCACTTTTTTGGTTGTCATATTTACTCGGGGCTTCTGTTGGCATTTAAGGCTAAAGACACTCGTGCCCTTCAGTGCATGGGACAGCCTGGCACAATGAAGAATTATCCCTCCCAAAATGTAGATTATTTCAAGGGATAGGGCACTTTACCATTAGAAGCAAAATTAAAAGTGCAAGGTGGACAAACTGACAGAATACTACATAGGAGAGACTAATTCCAACCTTCTAAATTTGGCTGGTAAAGTACAATAAAGGCATTGATAAGTTCTGTTAGCTCACAGTAGCACCTGTAAATTGGGAATTAATAATTGAATCAGATTTAAGGGCTCTGTCCTGTTATACATATTTAAGGCAGAAAAAAATTGTATATCGATTAGGTACTTATCAAGAATGATCAAGCTGAGATTTTGGTTAATAGAGTAAGCTTACATATCTAGAAAAACAACATAGTGGGAAAACGGGAAAAAAAAAAAACTGCAGGTAATTTCCCACGGCAGAGCTTTATTACTTGAGAGAAAGATTGGAAGACCTGAAAGCCACTTCCGCTTTCTAACACCAGTTCCTTAAATATTGAAATCTTGTACATTTTGTGAAATTCTACTATGTTTTGCTTAAAGTGTTAATAAAATTAGTTTGTATCGTATAGTCATTGAGTGAGGGGGAGATATAAGCCAAGGATTTTAAATTGACCCTTAGCTATAGAGAATTTGCTATAAGCTAGTCTTGTTTGTAGAAAAAAAAAAGTGTATTTTCGTGTTTTCTGTATTAAGTAATTCTGTAACTGCATGGCAGTTTTGTTTTTGTTTTTGTTTTTATAAATACAGTTGTTACTGGTCCTGTTGTAGCAGTGAATATAGTTAAAATAAGTACCTTTTAAAAAAAACGATAATCGGCCGGGCGCGGTGGCTCACGCCTGTAATCCCAGCACTTTGGGAGGCCGAGGTGGGGGAATCAGAAGGTCAGGGGTTCGAGACCAGCCTGACCAACATGGTGAAACCCCATCTCTCCTGAAAATACAAAAATTAGCTGGGCGTGGTGGTGTGCGCCTGTAATCCCAGCTACTCAGGAGGCTGAGGCAGGAGAATCGCTTGAACCCGGGAGGTGGAAGTTACAGTGAGCCAAGATTATGCCACTGCACTTCAGCCTGGGGGACAGAGCGAGACTCTTTCCAAAAAAAAAAAAAAAAATGTCCTTACCAGTTACTGCCCTGTAGCTCATTCCTACTAGTTTTCTTGACAAATTTGTATTCCCAGTCTCCTGTATTGCTACTCAAATTGCTCCACTATGCTCACTAAGTCCTTGTTAATAGTCTTACCCTCCTTGAAACACTTGAACACTTGATTACTTTAGCTTTGAGAAGATACCATCTCCGGGTATGTTGTCTTAGTCTTTGCAGGCACCTCTTCCCTTAAATATCTGTTCTTCGTATTTTTTAAAAAATGTGTTTTAGACTGCCTTATTCTATGTCATCTCGCTAGCTGATCTTATTTCCTTCCATGGTTTCGTTACCACTTAGATGCAGATGACTCTCAGATTCATTATCTCCTTTCTAGACCTTCCCTAATTGATATATCTAATTGCTAACAAATCCTCTTTGCTGTCTCAGGCACTACGTGTTATTGATCTTGCCCCCAATCCTGCTTCTCTCATGTTTCCTCTTTCACTAAATGGCATTACCACTACCAACCATTCATTTGTCCTTTTTCCCAATTCTCCAATGCTACCACTTTAATTCAGGCCATTAACCTACCTAATTATAGCAACAGCCTCCTTATTAGTCTCCCTGTTTTTATTTTTATTCCTTTCTACACTACAACTAAATTGCTCCAAAAGACTTACTGATCATATCACTGCACTGCTTTCACCATTGCTCTTCGGGTACTATACAAATTTATCTTCATCTTTAAGGTCTCAGTATGCTACTTCATCTAGGAAACCTTCATTGATGCCCTCTAGATTAGGTGCCCTTACTCTCCATTCCCTATACATTCTGTTCTTTCCCAAACATACACTTGGCACACTTTATTGTTACTGCTTATTGATCACTGCTAGACTGTAAGCTTTGTAAGGGCAGGGACCATATAAGCCTTGTTCACTGTTATATCTCTAGTACTTAGCACAATGCCTGGCATTTCAATAAATGTTTGGACAAACGAGTATTTGTGTAGTGTTTTACAATTTTTGAAGCTGTCTCACAGTCTTATTTGACCTTCACAGTCATTCTGCCTTAGATTGTCCATTGGGTAACTTTTATCCTCATATTACTAATTGAAAAATGAAGATAAGTTCTTTGTAACTAGGGACCTCATTGTTGTATTCCCAGAATTTAGTGTAGCACTTAGCATGTGACTCAAATATTTACTATGTGAATGTTAAACTGCGGTTTTCTGTGGTAAACACAGTAAGTAGTAAACTCAGGATTCACAACCAGATATACACACCAAATCCACTATGTAATATTAAGTTTGTATATCCATGTATAGAATCTTATTTTTTTTTTGCCCTTTATGAACAGTGTTTCATACATATATGTATGTGTATATATATATATTTTTTTAATTTCCAAAGGAACCTACATATAGAGGGAAAAGATTGGACAACTATTTAGTGAACTAAAACAATACTTAAGTGATTAAAATGTTACGTTTAGTATTGGAAAAAGATAATGCCGCCTAAGAGTTAATAATCATTTTTCCTTTTGTAGGCATCAACACTAGGAGAAAATGGCATGCTATTTACTTGCTACTTTCCTTTACAGATGATTTTTGGCTCTTCTGGGATTTAAAAGTAAGTAAATTTAACAAAATAGAGGACTGACTCAGCCCTTCTGGTCACTATATTTTCAGTTCACTTGTTTTTATACCTGCAGAATGTCCTTATCACCCAAAGGGAGATGACCCAAAAGTAACATCTAGTTAATGTATACTTCTAAAGTTTGTTGTATTTCTTTGCCTTCTTGTTCCCATGCCTCTCTGAACTTAATTTCTGGGTAACTGAGGCTTTTCAGGCTTGGGTGGGAAAGCCACACCCTTAGTCTATTTCCTTAAGCCATTCTGACCAATTTAAGGGATTAACTAGTATAATCTTAGTTGGACTTTTAGTCTGAGGCATACTAAGTCATTCAGAGATCTTAACAGTAGGTGTCATAGTCATCCAGTGATTTGGTCCTTGCTGCAGGGTCTCACTTTGTCACCCAGGCTGGAGTGCACTGGTGCAATCTCAGCTCAATGCAATCTCTGCCTTCCTGGCTCAAGCAGTTCTCCCACTGCAGCCTCACAAGTAGCTGGGACTACAGGTATATGCGACTACACCCAGCTAATTTTTGTATTTTTATGTGGAGACAGGGTCTTGCTATATTGCCCAGGCTAGTCTCAAACTCCTGGACTCAAGCAGTCTGCCCGCCTCGGGCTCCCAAAATGTTGGTGTTACAAGTGTGAGCCTCTGCACCTGGCTGCAAAACTGGCTTTTAATCAGCCTTTTGGCTAAAGGATTTCTCTTTTTTTTTATTTTTTAAAAGATTTCTCGCCCGGCGTGGTGGCTCACGTCTGTAATCCCAGCACTGGGAGGCCAAGGTGGGCGAATCATGAGGTCAGGAGATCGAGACCATCCTGGCTAACAGAGTGAAACCCTGTCTCTACTAAAAATACAAAAAATTAGCCAGGCGTGGTGGCGGGTGCCTGTAGCCTCAGCTACTCAGGCTGAGGCAGGAGAATGGCGTGAACCCAGGAGGCGGAGCTTGCAGTGAGCCGAGATCGTGCCACTGCACTCCAGCCTGGATAACAGAGCCAGACTCCGTCTGAAAAAGAAAACAAACAAACAAAAAAAAAGATTTCTCATTTTTATCTTTTTGTTATTAAAATGTTGCCTCATCCTACCCAGTAACTACTTGAATTTGTGAATTCTGTATTCCTTTTCATTTCTGCCTGCAAACTGACCCATCTGTTCTGAGTACATCTCTTTTCTATACGTTTTGTGAAGTGCAGTAGACAGCAACTACAAAATATTTTGTTTCTCTGTCTTTTTCTTTAGTAAAGGGTAAGATGATCTGCCTTTCAGTTTATTTCAAGGGGCAGTTTCACCATTCCATAATATAAATTACTTTTGCGTAAATTATTTCTTCCTTCTTTGATAGCAATTTCCTGAATGCCTTCCAGCTAACCATTAAGCCAGTATTCAGTATTTTAGCATTTTAAAAAACAAGGGACCAATTTCTGTGTCAGCATGGGCTAGCTTGCCATTGGGTAACAAAGGCCAAATCTTACTGTCTCACACAACTTTTCTATTGCAACTTGCCTGGGGACTTTGGTTTAGGTCATAGGTTGGCCATGACCAAACTATGGCCCACGGGCAAAATCTGTCTAGCTCCTTGTTTGTCTAAATAAAGTTTTACTGGAATATAGCCTTGTCCATTTATTTATATCTGTGGCTACTTTCGTTGTACAATGGCAGAGTTGAGTAGTTGCGACACAGTGTGTGTACATCTCACAAAACCTAAAATATTTATTCTGTGGCCCTTTACAGACAAAGTTCACCAATTTGTGCTCTAAGTTGCCTTCATTCTGGGTCTCAGGCTGACAAAGCAGATACCATCAGGAGTGTGGCTGCTAACTGTGAAATGAAAAAAGAGAGTATGGCAAATCACTTAAGGACTCTCAAAGCACTTTCATTGGCCAAAGCAAATCACATAGCCACATTAAAGTTCTAGGAAGAGTGTGGTCCTTACATATACCTGGGAGAAAAATCAGAAATATTTGGAAGACACCACCACTTCTTCATTTATATGCTTGCTTCCAATATATTTTTAACTTGTTATTGAGGTAAAATTTTAAAATGTACAGATATTAAGTGTACACCTCAGTGGATTTTTATATATGCCCTTGAATGCACCACCCAGGTCAAAATGTAGAATATTTCTAGCACTTCAGTAGGTGTGCTTATGTTCCCCAGGCCCCCACACCAACCCCTTTTATCACCATGGATTAGCTTTGCCTGTTTTAAAACTTTACATAAGTGAGATAATTATATGCACTCTTCCGTGTCATGTTCAACATTGTATCTGTGAGAGTAATCCATGTTATATGTAGTAGCAGTTCATGTTTTACCTCTGTGTAGTAGTCCATTGTGTGACTACATCACAACTTACCCATTCTACTATTGATAGAAATTTAGGTTGTTTCCAGCTTGTGGTCGTTATGAATAAAGTTACTATGAAAATTATCACCCTGTCTTTCAGTGAACATGTGCACCCATTCTTGGCATACTCTTTGGTATATACCCTGCTTCTATATTTTCCTCGTGTAATTTATTCTCTACATAGCATTCAGAGTGATCCTTATTTTAAAATACAAATTAGGCCAGGTGCGGTGGCCCACGCCTGTAATCCCCGCACTTTGGGAGGCCGAAGCAGATGCGTCACCTGGGGTCAGGAGTTCGAGACGAACCTAGCCAACATGGTGAAACCCCATCTGTACTAAAAATACAAAAATTAGCCAGGCGTGGTGGCGCGTGCCTGTAATCCCAGCTACTCAGGAGGCTGAGACAGGAGGATCTCTCAAACCCAGGAGTTGGAGGTTGCAGTGAGCCGAGATCACGCCACTCCTTTCCAGCCTGGGTGACAGACCAAGGCTCCATCTCAAAACAAAATGTATGTGTATGTGTGTATATACATATAAATCAGACCATGCCACTTGTGTGTTCAAAATCACCAATGGTTTTGTATTACAATCAGACTAAAGTCCAATGTCTATCATGGCCTACAAGACCCTGCATAATCAGTACCCACACATATTCTGCACACATACCCTTTTTCTTCCTACTCTGTCTTACTTTGTATCCTTTATCCCTTTCCCTGTTCCTTCTCACTCTCCTCTGTACTAGACATGGTGCTTGTAAACTTGGGAATTAAAATTAATATGTGGCCTTGTCCTTAAAAGAGATGGTAATTTAAGTAGATGGTTTTGACATAAACCATAACACTGGTTTATGTTAAAATCAGTTACCCCAGTTTATATTGATGTTTAACTCCTGGAAGGGATTTAGAGATTAAAATGCAAAACCTTGACAAATTTGAGGAACATGTAAGATCCTTGCATCCTAGATCAACTAATTCTGCATTTGAGTATACCAATTTCTTTTTTTTTTTTTTTTTTTTTTTTTTTTTTTTTTTTGAGTGTCGCTCTGTCAACCAGGCTGGAATTCAGGGGCGTGATCTTGACTCACTGAAACCTGCGCCTCCTGAGTTCAAGCGATTCTTCCACTTCAGCCTCCCAAGTAGGTGGGGCTACAGATGCACACCACCACACCTGGCTGATTTTTTGTATTTTTATAGAGATGGAGTTTCACCATGTTGGCCAGGCTGGTCTTTAACTCCTGACCTCAAGTGATCCACCCGCCTTGGCTTCCCAAAGTGCTGGAATTACAGGCATGAGCCACCGTGCCCAGCCCGAGTTTACCAATTTTGTTATGGCATTCATGATTGTTCACTTTTATGGGAGCAGAGGGCAAAGGGAGTTGGCAAAGCAGTGGAATAAATCAGTAAGTGTTGATATTAAGTCCAAAATAGCACAGTCATAAGGGACCGCCTTAAATGTTGTTCCATTATTGGTACGTTACTGGTTGTTCTAACTAAAATCAGTTAATAACTGAACTCTCCACATTTTTAGCAACTTTCATGTACAATTGAAGTACAAGAAACAGCATGTATTTAAAGCATAAATTTTTATTGGTTTTGACATAAACCTATGAAACCATCACAAGAGCACTAATCCTATCATGAGGGCTCCACATTTATGCACTAGTTGCCTGTGAAAGATCCCACCCCGAAATACCATTGGAGGTTAGAATTTCAACATATGAATGGGGATGTGGGAGACACAAACGTTCAGTCCGTAGCAGGAAAATACAGGGATGTCTCAGAACCACCATTGTCTACTTTCCTCTCTGTGTCTGCTTTCTTATCACTTCACCTGCTGGCCAGCCTTTATGCACTGCATTGATGTCTGTCACCACCTTTACTCTAGTGCCGCTGACCAACCGACCTAATCTCGTGCCAATTCTGTATTCGTGAGCGGGGAACATGTGATCCAGTCTCTGGTGTTGTCTTTCCTGAGGCGTGACATGTACCTGTAGTGAAGTAAGTGGTGGTTATGAAGGGGAGAATATCATAGTGTATTTGGAAGAGCTTTCTGGTTGTAAGAAAGCAACTTGCACTAGTGTAAGGGGGAGGAATAATGGAATGATTAGAGAAATACAGAAGTATCTCATGGAAGCCACATGAGGGAATGAAATTCAGTGGTCATTCAATAATTATTTCATGAAAGCCTGCTAGGCCCAAGGCACTGATCTAGGCACTGGAGATTCAGCAGTAAAGCAAGATGTATTTCCTACCCTGATGGTTGTCTGTGATCCCTTTGCACATCTGCTTCATTCTCTCTAAACAGTAGCTTCACTTGCTCATTTTTCTTCAAGGGAGAACATAGTTGTGACTAGCAAGATACTTTTTCCTAAAAGGATCCATAATGTGTAGCTCATCCCTGTGGTTGGGATGAGTTGAGGTTGGAGACTTTACAGGAGGATTTGAACTGACAGGCACACCAAAAGTCATCTTACTCAAAACCATCCAGTGAGTTTATTGCCTCCCAATGATTGGAGTTCTCACTGACCCCTCTGAGTCAGAATTTGTGGAACTGAGTATTAAAGGGTCCACAGAAAGATAATTTATTCCAACTTCTTCACAATGTAAAGAAATTGGGCCCCAGAGAAGTGGTTAAAGTTATCTTGAATTGTGTAGCAGAACCAGGAAAAAAAAGCAGTTTTTTGACCTGTTGCAGTACTTTTCTCATTCTGTCATTGCTGTCATTACCTGACTGCCTTCATGCCTCCATTTCTTTTAAGAAACTTTTCTTGGTGGAAGACCTCAGAATCTTCATGATATTTTCTTTGGTTCTGACTAGCAATAGCTAAGACAGGTTATCTCTCAGTACTTACACAGAAATCCTTTAGGAATCTAGAATTCTTTGAGATTATCAATATGTTATATACATAATAAATATTAGAAACATTTTATATTTTGTGTGTATTATGAACTGTTTAAAAAGCACAAATATTACCTGTTTCTAGAGGATTTGAAAAAATTTATCTGAAAATAATGGAACTAGCTGGGCACAGTGGTGCATGTCTGCAATCCCAGCCACTCAGGAAGCTGAGGTGAGAGGATCACTTAAGCCCAGGAGTTCGAGACCAGCCTGGGTGACAGAGCAAGACCCTTATTGCTATAAAAATAAATTTTTAAAATGTAAAATAAATAAATAAATAAACATTTGAAAGGAATGGGACTGGCCAGAGCAGTTAGGCAAGAAAAAAAAATAAAGGGCACCAAAATGAAAAAGGAAGGGCCGGGCACCATGTCTCACGCATGTAACGCCAGCACTTTGGGAGGCCGAGGCAGGTGAATCACCTGAAGTCAGGAGTTCAAGACCAGCCTGGCCATCATGGTGAAACCCCATCTCTACTAAAAATACAAAAGTTAGCCAGGTATGGTGGCGGGTGCCTGTAATCCCAGCTACTCCTGAGGCTGAGCCAGGAGAATCACTTGAATCCAGGAGGCAGAGGTTGCAGTAAACCGAGATGGCACCACCGCACTCCAGCCTGGGTGACAGAGCAAGACTCCATCTCAAAAAAGAAAAATGGAAAAGGAAGAAGTCAAATTAGACTTGTTCACAGATGACATGATATTATATTTAGAAAAACCTAAAGACTTCACCAAAAAAAATAGAACTGATAAATAAATTTAGTAAAATTGTAAGATACAAAAAAGAGTAACATTTATTTACACCCAAAGAGAACAATTTGGGAAAAAATACCATCCCATTTATAGTAGCTGCAGAGGGTATTAATTACCTGGGATCATTTTAACCAAAGAAGTGAAAGATCTATACAAGGACAACTATAAAGCATTAAAGAAGTTGAAGAGGACACACACACACACAAGAGATTCCCTGTTCATTGACTGGAAGAATTACTGTTAAAATGATAGCTGGATGAGGTGGCTTGCGCCTGTAGTCCCAGCACATTGGGAAGCCAAAGTGGGAGGGTCACTTGAGCCCAGGAGTTTCAGAGTAGCCTGGGCAACATAGTGAGACCCTGTCTCTATAAAAAAAATTTTTTTAATTAGATATGGCAGTATGCACGTGCTGTCCCAGCCACTTGAGGAGCTGAAGTGGGAGGATCACTTGAGCCCAGTGAAGGTCAAGGCTACAGTGAACGATGATCATACAGTGAGCCATGATCACACCATTGCACTCTGGACTGGATGACAGAGTGAAGACCCCATCTCAAATAAAATGGCAATTCTACTCAATGCAATTTACCAATGCAATGCAAACCCTATGAAAACACCAATGACATTCTTCACAGAAATAGAAGAAAAAAAAATCCTAAGATTTATACGGAACTAGAAAAGACCCCAATAGACAAAACAATCCTGAGCAAAAAGAATAAAACTGAAGGCATTTCACTATCTGACTTCAAAATTTACTGCAAAGCTATATTAACCAAATTAGCATGGTACTGGCATAAAAATAGACACATAGACCAATAGAACAGAATAGAGAACTCATGTAAACCCACTCAGCCAACTCATCTTTGACAAAGGTACCAAGAATATACAATGGGAAAAAGACAGTCTCTTCAATAAGTGTTACTGGGAAAACTGGATAACTATGCAGAAGAAGTAAACTCACTCTCACCATACCAAAAAAAAAAAAAAAATCACATCAAACTGGATTAAAGACCTAAGTCTGGGCCAGGCGCGGTGGCTCACACCTGTAATCCCAGCACTTCAGGACGCTGAGGCAGGCAAATCACGAGGTCAGGAGTTTGAGACCAGCCTGGCCGGCATGGTGAAATCCCATCTCTATTGAAAATACAAAAAATTAGCTGGGCATGATGGCATGCACCTGTAGTCCCAGCTACTCAGGAGGCTGAGGCAGGAGAATTGCTTGAACCACACAGGCCAAGGTTGCAATGAGCCGAGATCGCGCCACTGGACTCCAGCCTGGGCAATAGGATGAGTTTCCATCTCAAAAAAAAAAAAAAAAAAAGACCTAAGTCTAATATGAAACTGTGAAACGATTAGAAACTGGAGATATGCTTCAGGACAGTGGTCTGGGCAAAGTTTTTTTGTGTAAGACCTCAATGGCACAGGTAACCAAAGTGAA